TCATTGCATTCAAATATCATAATTTTCCATAGCTTTCTAGAGCCATTTGTGTGTGAAGGTTGAGTTGTTCTTGAGCGTACTTAGTTTACTCATAATCTACTCTACAAGAGAGTCTCGTTCTTGAGTGTACTTGTGTTCTTAGACACGTTGAGAGAAAGTATTTCTCTCGTTGATTCAAAGGAAGGTCTGTTTCCTTTGAAGGATTCGTTGAGGTTCGTGTGACTCGAACTCTCAAGTTGTTACGGTTTGTTAAGCACCCGCAAGCTTAACGAGATAGTAGTGTAGCTCGAGAGAGTCTCTCGGGAGGCTGGATTAGCCACAAGTTGTGGTGAACCAGGGTAAAATTCGGTGTGCCTTTTACTCTTCTCTTTACTTCTCTTTTAATTTTTAAATTCCTGCTATTTCTCCGATCAAACGCTATTCACCCCCCTCTAGCATTGGTCTATTATTCTAACATAAATAACCATGGTCTTCCTAGAAGAATGTGGCTAGCATTAATGGGTATGACCATGAGCTTATCTTATTATTCTTGTTAATCTTGAACTTGTTTTTGTTCCAAAGCTTCTTGTTCCTCGACATCTTCAATCAAGATCACTTTTCTCTTTTTTGGACACATGATAGCAAAGTGTCCAACCTTTTGACAAGTGTAACAATAAGGGCTTGTAAATTAGACTTTAATTATAGATTGGTGGCATGGTTCTCTCTCTTCTCTCTAATGGCGAAGAAGAAAGGGCGACCAAAGAAAAATCATGAATATCCAGAAGCGTCACTGAAATCAATGATTGGAAAGGATGATTTATCACCGTATCAGTCAAATGGAGGGTCCGGAAACAGAAATTTAACGAATCCACCAAGCGGAAATGATTTGAAGAAGGGACCTGAATCTATCCCCCAAAAATTGAACCTGGCCTGGAAATCCTGGTCAACCAAGAGAATACTGAAGAGGATAACAATGATATGCAGAAGAAGCCAACATATGCAGAGATTCTGAGATCGAATGAGGTACAAGTAGATTTGTCCTTTTTTCAATATGAAGAAATTAATGGGCAGAGGGTAGCCAGATTTACAGACGAAGATATTATTGTTAGTGATGGGTTATGGGACTGTGCAATTATTTGTTGTGTGCTTGGTGCAAACCCCCCTCTTGAGGTGATGAAAGGATTCGTAACACGAATCTGGAAGGAATTTGAGGTGGTTGATGTTAGTTTTCATAAGGATGGACAGTTTATTGTGCAATTTAAGAATTCTGAAAAGAGAGATGAAGTAGCGAAGAGGAAATACTACTACTTCAACAATAAACCAAACCAATGCTGGTGCAGAAGTGGCATCCTGGAACCCAATTGAACATAATCCAGCTTCCTGGGCTGGACGTTAAGTTTTGGAGCCTATCAGGATTGGGAAGCTGGGTAGTATCTTAGGCAAGCCTATTAATGAGATATGTTTGATACAACCAAAAAAAGAGCCCGCCCTTGTTCTATCCGGAATGCGTTGGAGGATCCGATGCTCTGCGTCTCCCTCTCATCCACCATATCTCTAGTCCTACCATAGGTACACTTTTCCGGTACATCCGCTGCGGATAGGGCTGCCAACGAATAACTGAAAATCCGATTAACGTCCGCATCTGTATCCATTTAAAGAGGAAATATCCGCATCCGTTTTAAATGGATATTGTCCGTATCCGATTAAGGATATCCGATTACTAAATGGATACGGATTTGGTAATTGTATATCCGATCCGTTTAAAATCCGATCCGAATATGCATCCATTTAAATAACCGTTTCTCCCAATATCCGATCCGTTAGATAGAGTTTTTCCTAATTTTTTATATTTATATTTTGTTTCTCTATTGATATTTCAAAGTATAAAACATTTTTATATACAAAATAAATGTGTAGACACATAAAATATGTGTATATGTGTGTTGTGTTAATCTTTTTATCATATGAAGTTATTGTTGAATATCATAAATCATGAAAACAAAGAAAATAATTATCCCATAATAAATTATACTACCTCCGTCCTAGAGTATTTGTCCACTTTCATTTTTACACACCATCCAGTGCACTTTTTTAATCAATTTTATCTTGTAATTTATATATTAAAAAATTATAGAAATTATATATTAATAATCTATATGTTAAGACAAATCAAACAAGATCACACATGACTATATTTAGGCTTACACATTGAGAGAACTTGATGAGTCAAAGTGCTTAGATGAACAGTTCCAAAAGTCAAAAGTGGACAAACAAAGCGGGACGGAGGGAGTAGTTGATTTAATAATATTTTGACTTTAATCTAATTTAAAAATAAAGTATTGTTTAATTTGATTGTAAACATTGAAAACGGATATGGATATATTCGATATCTGACCAGTATCCGTCAAGATTCGTATCCGATTTCGATATCCAACAAAAATAAACAGATACAGATTTGGTATCCAACAAAAATAAACAGACACATATCTGAGCATGGATATTTGGATGGATGGAGCTTCGTTTATCTTCATCCCCACTTTTGATTCCATCCTCAATTTTAATGCATGAGATTTTGTCGTTTGGATTAGGAAAAAACATGTCTTCCCTTCTCCTCTCATCCTCATGCTTCTCTCTTCGCAATTCCGAAGTTTCATCTCCGCCCTCCCCTGTAAAGAAACCCCATTTCAATCCCTGTGAAAAATCCCATTTCTTTCCACCTTTTCCTACTTATTATTTTTCATTTTTCGTTTATTGGAACAAAATTTCTTATTCTATGTCGACCGGCGGCAAAGATGCCATCTCTTGTAGAGCTTCGTCATCGGCGTCTCCCTCTCTCCGGCGAAACTCCGAAGAGGGAAGTGGGCACCAATTTTGCAGCGCAAATGAAGGAGATGAGGATGACGATTCCGATGAGGAAGAGCATGAAGGAGTAATAGCTCATGATGTAGATATGGAGGAAGATATTAGTCCCACTTCTGTTCTGTCTCATAGGTGGGATGTTTTGGGCCTTGGCCAAGCTATGGTGATTTTCTATCCCTCTATTGTTTCTCATATTCATGTACATCCCATTGCAAGATGAAAATTAGGTCAAATAGATTAAGATATTGTTGATACTTGTTAATTTGGCATAACTCTACCCCAAAGTGAAGCTAGAGGTTTTCCAAACTTTATAAACTAGATTATGGCCCCATAACCCATGGACTTGGGATACTTAACAATATTCATAATCTTTCTAAGAAACTAGTCATAATTGGTTTTGATTTGCATTCTCTAATGTAAAACCAACCACACAAAAATAACTTTTCATGCCATTTCCCCCATACCATTTTCCAATATCCGAAAATGCCCTAAGCAGTCATATCTTTTCCCCTTGGGAGATGGTAGGTTGATTTCTCAGGCATGGTTGATGAAAACTTTCTGGACAGACTTGGATTGGAAAAGGGGACAAGAAAGGTTGTGAATCATGAGGAGAGGGGTAAGATTCTGCGCGCAATGGACGGGTGCAGTTACAAGGCTGCTGGTGGTGGT